CTCTTGTGCAACACTCCTGTGAGACACTCTTGTAGGAGATGCTCTCGCGCAACACTCTTGTGAAACACTCTTGTAGAAGACACTCTCGTGCAACACTCTTGCAGGAGATACTCTTGTGCAACTTTCCTGTGAGACACTCTTGTAGGAGACGCTCTCGTGTAACACTCTTGCGGGACACTCTTGCAGGAGACACTCTCATGAAACACTCTTGCGGGACACTCTTGCAGGAGATACTCTTGTGGAACACTCCTGTGAGACACTCTTGTAGGAGACACTCGCATGCAACACTTTTGTGGGACGCTCCCGCTCTTGTAGGAGACGATCTCGTGCAACACTCTTGTGGGACACTCCTGTAGGAGATGATCCATGCAACACTCTTGTAGTTGACGCACTCATGCAACACTCTTGTGGGACGCTGTTTGGGGAGACGCTCTCGTGCAACATTCGTGTGGGGCACTCTTGTAGGAGACTCTCTCGTGCAATCCTCTTGTGGGACACTCTTGTAGAGACACTCTCCTGTAACACTCTTGTGGGACACTCTTCTAGGACACTCTTGCAGGAGACAGTCTCGTGCAACACTCTTGCGGGACACTCTGGTAGAGACACTCTTGTGCAACACTCTCGTGGGACAATCCTTTGAGACACCGTTGTAGAAGACGCTGTCGTGCGACGCTCTTGTGGGACACTCTTGTAGGAGACGCTCTCGTGCAACACTCTTGTGGGACACTCTTGTAGAGGCACTCTCGTGCAACACTCTTGTGGGACACTCTTCCAGGGCACTCTTGTAGGAGACGCTCTCGTGCAACACTCTTGTGGGACACGCTTGTAGCAGACGCTCTCGTGCAACACTCTTGTGGGACACTCTTGCAGGAGACATTCTCGTTCAACACTCTTGTGGGACACTCTTGTAGAGGCGCCCTCGTGCAACACTCTTGTGGGACACTCTTGCAGGAGACGCTTTCATGCAACACTCTGGTGGGACACTCTTGTGGAGACACTCTCGTGCAGCACTCTTGTGGGACACTCTTCTAGGTCATTCTAGCAGGAAACACTCTCGTGCAGCACTCTTGTGGGAACGCGCTCTTGTGGGACACTCTTGTAGGAGACATGCTTGTGCAGCACTCTTGTTGGACACTCTTGTAGGAGACGCTCTTGTGCAACACTCTTGTGGGACACCCTTGAGGGACACTCCTGTAGGAGATGCTCTTGTGTTGCTGGCCCACAGGTCATTGCCTTTGCAAAGCTTGGAGAGCGGAAATCGAAGCTCTAGCTGCAGTCGATGAGGCCTTTTTCAGATCTAAACTTGCAGCTGCAGTTCTTGCCTGCGTAGAACCTCCATGGAGGCCGATGCCATCTTCTGCGCCTGCCGCTCACAGTTCCACCACGCCAACTCCTACTACATCCTCCAGGACCCGAAATCGAATAGCGGAGGAGCGTGAGCGCAGATGTCAGGCCGCTGAAAGATTAGGACTGTCGCGAAGGGCATATGAGCGACGCCTTGGGATGGACCATTCTCGGCCCCGGCCGCTTTCTCTTGTCTCCACAGACGCATGCCGACCTTCCAACTTGCTGCGACCGAATCGGATTTTTGCCCGGCCACGGTGCATCGCGCCCAGCTGCCTCTCACGAACGCCGTTGCCTTCACCGCCTACAGCCTGCAGGGCTCCACCCTGCCATCTGTCTCGCTGGACTTTGCAAAGCCTCCACCCATGACCAGTGATGACTTTTGGATGCATCTTTACGTGCTGTTGTCTCGTGTTGCCACTCTTGACGACCACCTTCTCATGCGCAGTGTCATTGATGGCGGCCCGCCCGCAGGGCTTCGCGCCGAATTCATCCGCCTGGAAGATCTTGAGCGAAGGACCCTGCTTGACATTGACTCTCGGGTGTGAGTTGGCTGAGCAGGTGGAAGATGTTTTTGAGTCTGTCCGCGTCTCTATATGGCAGTATGCTGTCGAACGCCGAACACCTGACGCAACCGATGAGGAAATGTCGGAGCTGAGCAGTGCATTGGCATATGAAAACGTCGATGATCTCTGCTGAGTGCCCAGGCGGCAGCTTCCCGACGGCCTGCGTGAAGTGGATGGAACCGATGGAGAGGGCGGCAAAAACAGAGCTCGACAACAGTTGCAAGAAGGAGCCGACGGAGTCAAAAGCTGTGAAGAAGGGGCGAAAGGTGTATTGCACCAAAACTGATCAGGCCATCAATGCTTGACCGCTCCAGGCTCTAGCCAATGTCGCTCAATTGCTGAAATATCTAAATTGGTGCGGTTCTTGAAAGCTGCTGGTTCAACTCGAGAGGAATGTACCAAGTACTGTATGCTACTAACCCGTTCGGTGTCCGTTTGAAACTATTTGAATACCTGCGTCGAAGTCGACAGCTTTACGAAAACAAAGATGACAAGCTGTGAGTCGAAATCGAAAACGGCAACAAAACAACAATCCGGTGAACCTTTAGTTTAGGACTATTTAGGACTCTTGGCCCACCATTGAGTTAATGGGTTTTGAACAAACAAGCAGTGTTTTGACTACAGTCCAACACTACAAAACCGAGTCAACCAAACTCTTGGAAGGTCGTTTTTGGTGCTTTCTGCTTTGAACGAAGGCGAGCTTTGTCCGGAGTCGTCTAGTGTTGACAGTCGCCTGTGACTGAGGTCGCTGTTGCCCTGATGATCTTCGCACTGATCCGCTTTGCTTTAAAGGTCTCCAAGGAGTGGTCGTCCAGCTTTCTCCTCGTCCCGCCAACGAAGCCGCTGTGGAGTCACGAAGCCCTTATAGTCGGTAAGAGGATCCATCACCCCCCAAACTTGGATGGTAAGACCTTTGAAGAGGCTTGGGGGGGGCTTTATGGATCAAGAGTCGTGTACATGATAGGATTTCTTCAAATTTCAATCACATCGATCTTTTTTTGTATTTTTCGTGGTGTAAGTTGATTCTGTTGGAAACTTGACAGCCCATGACAGCCCACAAACCACCCAGGACACGACCATTTTGTTCCGGTCCAACCCCCCCGGCAGTTCCCTCAGTTTCAGAATTTTCTTGCGTCCAAGGACTGTGGTCACACACGGTTACATGGAATTTGGTGTGGGGGTCAGGGTGTTCTGTCAACCAGGAGTCACCCAGGAATTTTGCTGTGTCCCAGGGAGTTAGAGGAACATTTTTTCAGCAAACTTCTAGCGACCACCCCAAACCAAAGTCTATAACTCTTGGAGGCAAAAAACATCCATTCTGAATCTCTGGAGGATCACACCACTTGAAATCATCATGCTGCAGTGGAGTTCACCACCTGTTTGGTCTTCGGAAGAAGACTCCATCCGAAATCGGGGGGGGGCCCTGGACATCCACGTCTCCATTGAGTTTGCTGGAGGTTTCTGGTGTCCGTCACCCAGATTCCGGATGGGTGCTCACCCTGTCCGACCCATTCTGCCGCTGGTCCACCCAAAACGCCAGAGTCCCTGGGCCCTGGGCTTGGACCCAGCGGGATTGGGTCAACCTGGAGCTCGACCAGGCCACACACAGCCAGCTTTGGGAATGACCAGGTGAAAACCATGCGAATGACCACGGTAATGTCACCCACCGCCAGCCTTCGACCCGACCATCTCAACGCCCAACAACACGTGGATTCGAGGTGGGCGTCCCCGATCGGCCTGGTTGTCCGGTCTATCGCCATGCCCGTTACGCGAGCGCTGCGTCCAGGAGTACATCGGCGAGGAAGGCTTTTGGGGCATTTTTATTGCCATTGGCATCGTTGGCCGGATGCCCCAAGGATTCCCGGACACTCCATGGGACTGGAGTATGAATATATCAATTGACCCCCCAAACCACCACCCCTGGCCTGATCGGCAGTCCTATGGCAGTCCCATGGAAGCGTTTGGGATTGGTTTGCGTCGTTCAAAGAGAATGGGACCTTGGGAATTCAAGAGTTAAGATGTTAGGCACCTCGGAGGTCACCGGGTGTCCATTGCTCTATAGCCCTTCTAAGAGGCGAGCTCATCCTCGGGGGTGTCCATGTCTACCACCACCCCCGACGTTTTTAAAAAAGGGGGTCCAGGTACTCTGCCAGGTACGAAGCCTGGATTTCATGGGGAGACCTGTTAACCCTTCTGTTTCCAGGTTGCATCGATGGATCTCCGGCTGAGGAGTGAAGGCACCCCCTGCTTAAACTGGAAGAAGGTTAGAGGCTCCCTCAGCAGTTCTGAACGTCCCCTGCGCACGTAGCTCGTTCCTCACATGTACCAGCTTCTTCCAGTGACGCTTGAGAGGCTTGTTTGTGACCAAACCAACTGGGGTATCAAGTTCGGTCACTTTGAAGAACCAGGCTCAGGTATGGAAATTTTTTATATTTATCAATGGAGGGAGGTTAGAATTATATGGAAGCCTGCGGCCTGCGACTTGTGAAGTCTGCAGTACAGCAACCATTTCGGAGACCTGTTGGAAGCTGCGGGTATGGAATATTTACCTACATAGGGGTGGTTTCAGAGGTGAATGTAGGTAAACATTCCATACATGGAGTGTTTGGGCATCGCGTGTACCAGCATCCAAATTCCTGCCAGGTCTCTTCGTGAAGAGGGTTGGGAAGGGCCCGGGCTTTCACAGGTCAAACCATTGGTGGCAGGGATGGTGCTGGTTTCCACCTGGATCTTCCAACCGCAACGTACCTGGACCTTCAAGGGGTGTCCAATGGAGGTCCCTTAGAGGTGTAGGGGCTTCCATTGGGCACCCCTTGGAAGCAGCTGGTATCTGACGTTTTGGTGCTTTTAGTGGTGCTTTTATGGATCAAACAGACTGACCTGCGCAGGCATGATCAGATGCCTGGTCAGCTTGGTGCTGGTCAAATCGAAGGGTTTGCCCCGAACAACTGCTTCGAGGTGTTCATTCTTCATGTCCCATCACCAGAGAGGATTCAGTTTCAAAACCTTGACATACCGTAGAAGCTCGCGTTGGAGAGATTTCAGGACTACCCAGAGCATAGATGTATTAAACAGAGACACTGTCCCTTTTGCCTGTTTCCGGAAAGAGACCTCACTGATGACCTTCATGTCCCAAAAATACCGACCCGAAAGGATGGTAAAGAGCTTTGGATCCAATCCCAGACCATCCATGTATGGAATATATGATATATGGCTACATTGACCCCCCTGGCACCACCAATGTGTCAGTCCCGAGTTCTGGGAATAATTGAGGTTCGGTACGTGGGTCCATGCTGCTCCCAGGCCTTCGTTTCGCGATCCTCTTCATTTTTCAATGGCAGTAGGCGGAGGCGTCTCGGGCTCACGAGCTGAAGCTCCAGCCAGCGGTGGGGTGTGGCGGAAACGGTCGGGGGGGAAACGGGTGGAGCCCACCCACTTCCATCTTCGTCCGGAGGATGTAGAATGGGAATGTATCTATCCTATGCGCCGTCTCATTACGCAGTCAGTTGATCACCTTTAGTCTATAGTCTTCCCATGCAAAAATGCTTTCGCCTCGAAACACCACGGGCAAAAATGGGTGAGCAAGAACATGTTCCGAGGGAGACCCGCGTAGCTTGGTTTATTCTTGACTTGATGAGGGGATCTTAAGGGGAGTCTCCCAGGTGTGCACACCAAAATGTGAGAGCCTGGTGCAAGCAGGAAGACCTGTCCACAACCAGTTTTGCAAGCGGCACACCTGTGGGTGCCCGATAGCTTCGAAGTACATGTTTTTGGCCTCCCAATCTGGAGCTTTACAAGAGATATTTGTCTGCCGGATTCTTCCAAGTGACTTTTTCATCCCCCCTTTGGTTCGGTCATGTTCGTGAGGCCTCCAGCTTGGGTCACTAGGAATCGAAGGTCATGTCACACTGAAGAAGCTGGTGGTCAAAACATGGTGAAATGGTCCAAGAGACGTCCAAGACGCGACGGTCCAAGACGAACCACTCATTCCAACCCGACTGTGAGGCGGGACCGACCTCAACACCGACTTCCGCCCTGGAGCACGGAAGAAGGAGCAGCTTCTCGCTGCCAAGCAGCCAAGCAGCTCAAAGAGCTGAATTGGATCAATAGAAACCCTAGGGACAATGTCTCAAAGTGGATGGAACCATCATTTTTTCAAAAGAACCCTGATTGGGACTTTTGTTGTATTTTTTGTTTTTAGTTTTTTTTGTTTGAGAATGAGATGAGATGCATCCCTTCGCTGGGCCACCGCTGGCCAAAGATGGCTGAATTGCCCAAGACTTCTGTGCAGGTGTCAGAAATTCTCGGTCATCGCATTGGTTGTGAAGGTTTCAGCCTGAAGACCTTTTTCAGGCTTGTGCAAAAGCGGCTTCCAACCGTCTCAGTTGGGTTTGTTTCAAGTGTCCGTTTTGGTACACCCTTCGTTTTGTGCGTGTCATCCTTTGCGGACCAGCACTCCTCCCTGGTCGTGCGTTTAGCATCTGACCAGCATTCGAAAATCGAGCCGTAGGCCCAAACCGCTTCAGCCGCCACACACTTTACATTGGCGGATCTCTAACATCGGCCCTGTCACTGCGCGGCAGCGAGCATCTGTGTGGTGGTTGCCCAGCTGGTCCTCATACACGAAGCTTGCTTCCATCAGGCTCCTCTGGCCTTGAGCTGCCCTCTGGCAGGCCCCACACACCGGATGCCCTCGAACTCGATTTGCATTTCTCAGCCCCCTGCAATCCTGTCGTCGATGGAAGCATTGGCTGGACTCCGCAAACCAGATCTGCCACGTCGGCTCAGCTGCGAACCGCCTCCTTCTTCCGGTCAGGGAGATCTGTAGTCGGTCCCCTGGCCCGTCAACTTGGATGGGAGGTTCTTCTTGCGGCTCAGCTTGTACAGGATGATCTCCCTCCGGGCCTCCAGTTCCCCTTCCCTCATTAGAACTGGTACCCGTCGGCGGCAACGATGAAGTACTGTGCTCCCCATCGCTCGTCCGCTGTTGACTTTCTCCTCGTTGGTGTGATCCTTGACCCCTCCCCGCTTGACGCCTTGTAGAAGATCTTGTAGCGAGAGACCCTCACTCTACGCGCCTCTGGCTCCTCCTCCATTTGGCCCCAATGCAAGCGGCATCGTTGAAGGATCTTCATGAGCACCATTCCCAGCAACATCATCATGACGCTGAGGAGGTACAGAATGTGGTCGCCCTCGGTGTTCTCATCGACACTCTTGGTGACGTTCTCAGCCATAGCTCCATGCACTTCTTTCAATGCCGACAGCACCACAACGAGCCTCATGGCCTTTTCCAGGTGGTACTTCG